ACCTTTATGGCCTTACGTTGTATAAATAAAGGCTGTTAAATGCGCTGTGAAGCTTCAAGAAATTCCACACTGTCTTTTTTATGTGTATGTACTTGTGGTTGTGTGATGTCATAGAATTATTTATGAGTATTAAAAAGAAAAGAGAATAATAAAATGTATGTGTGCATAAGACCTTTGGGCCATAAACATTATGCTGTTGGCAAACCTGTTTGTTACAGTTTATTGGTGACAAGGAGCTAATTCAGCTGTTGACTTTTGCTTGGTGTCATTTATCAGATTAGGTAAATAAAATCGGGATGTAAGAGTGGAAATTTGTGATTGTCACTTGTTGTTGAATCTCATTGAGCTCTCAGTGTTGATATTGCCTCTGGTTATGACAAGTGTTGTTGCAATAAAGGTGTTGCAATAAAGAAATAAAAAAACAAAATACACATTTTTTTAAAGCTAAACTTATGGTGTTTTCGCAACTGGCAATCCGTTAGATTCAGTTTGATTGGGGACCAGAATTGCAACAAAATCTGCTCCCCCAAGTCTGTGGTGGCGCTGCCTCAAGAACCACTGAAGCAGTTTTTGTTTTATGCTTTATGTTGCCGTTCATAAAAAAAGCATAAAAAATGGATTGACATCAGATTTTAGTGGTTGCCGGATTTGTCTTTTGTGTTTGCCAAAAGACCACGAATCATTTCTCCCAGTCATTAGACTCAATAGCCCCTTTCCTTCATTTGGCTGTTTACCCAGAATGCCCTGCGCTGTAGCCCGTGTCCTTCTTTTGGACTGGTCTCCGTCCTGCTTGCCATTCACACATGCATTCAAACCCCACCAGAGTTCACTTCAGAGGCCATATCAAAGTGTGATTGAACATTCAATCAATGTCCCAAACTTTCCAACTGCTCTTTTTGATCCTGTTAACGTTAAAGCTTTGATAAAGGTAAAGAACACAGATGTACAATGTGTCCTATTGTTAGGGCTGACATCTACCGGTTGGTCTGGTTGGATAACAAACTCTCACCCTATATTTGCTTAGCTTGCAGACTGGTTCATGATTCCTCTTTATCTCCACTCTCCCTTTTTCTACGGGTATGACAGGCATATGTGTGAAGCTGACACACCCACTTCCAGGTACGCTGCTCCGCCATGTAAACAGGTTTTGCTTTTTACACCTCTGCTGTTTGCATTTGCTCCAAACCATGCAAGAGACGCTCTTTTTCAAACCTGACACAGCGACCTCAGAGCTCTGCAGGATTATAAACCAGCCTGCAGGTTTTCATACCATGCAGCCAGTCAGATACCACAGCCGTGTGTCATGGGAGTTTCTCTCATTGTTACCAAGCCCTTCTTCAAGCACTGGGAACAGGTTCTGTTTTGATAATCTTCCCAGGTGTGGGAGTCGGCCTGTGTAAAATATCTTCTTTGTTTAGGGTAATTATTTGCATACAGTACATCTGCATTAAAACTTCATCAGGACCTTTGATGTGGTTTTTGACTTGTTCTAGTCAGATACCCTAAATCACATGTGTCAAACTCAAGGCCCGGGAGCCAAATCTGGCCCGCCATAGCTTTTTATGTGGCCCTCCACAGATTATACTAAACACTAAGTGTGATTAAATATTATATTATCAATCATATCAATGCAGTTTTTATCTGTTTACTGCCAATTTATATCAATCAGTCCCTCCAGTTTCTTGAGAATTTAGTTGATGTATGATTATAGTTCATGACTTATACAGCGAGTAAATAAACAGTCACATTTATTATTAGTTCCTGAAGGGACTGAAAAGATGTTCAGAAATATTATGTAATTTTAAGAATTCATTGACATATTAATAGTTTGTGAACAGGCTTTATCAACACATTCTGGCACAACCGGCCCTTTAAGAGCCTTCATGATCTTGATTTGGCCCAAAACAAAAATGAGTTTGACACACCTGCCCTGAATGGACAATTTGGCAGGCAGTACCAATGAATCAGTATCCAGATTTTATGTTTTTGTTTGAATTTAGTTGAAGGACATGCAAATTGAAACAGGGAGGAAGGTTCCTTACAGGTGTGCTGGCTCATGATGTCATTGTTAAGGTTTACAGGGAGGAACAAGTTTTGTCTTTAAATGAAGGAAACATGTTTTGCCAGTGAAACATTTGTTTATTCCACTTTTTACATTCTTTGCTTTACCATTCTGCTTTAAATATCTCTAGATATTCAGCTCAAGGCTCAGTTCTTCACTAAGATTTACATGTTGTTAGTGAAATTGAGATGATTGATTCATCAACTGTTAGTCCGTAGCTTTGGGATCTTGGTGACAGACCCTATGGTGGTCATCATAGGGTTAGTTTTAGTTTTTTTTAGTTTTTAGTTTTCATCATTGTTAGTTTACTGATACCTTTTTTTATTTTAATTCAAATAGTACGTGATGTCTGCATGCTGCTTGTTGATATATTTTGCCATCATCTTCCACCAGTTTAAATACATACATAAAATAAACTAGTGTATTTTATGTATGCATGAGTAGCACACTGCAGGCTTTTTCACGAGTCTTAAAGCAGGAAGCAGTTGGAGTTGGAAACACCGAGGAATTTTTAGCCACCTAATTGAATGGATTGTGCCAACTTGAAATTCCCAGACTGCTGTTTCATTCTGTCCTCCCCGTAAACAGTTTGTGAAGGACAAAACTCAGCATCACTGCAGTTCATCTCATCCAATCTCTGAATTTCCAGCTAAACAGAAACCTATTTCCTATTAAGGTGCAAGTTAATGCATCAATCTGCAATACATTTCTGTGTAGCATTAGCAAATGTATCTATATTACCCTGAAAAGTTGTCATAGTGTTCAGTGGGATCCCATCATGATGTTCGCTCATTCCATGAAGTTTGGAATTCTGTCTGGTCATTTTCCATTACACTCATGTGGAATCCTGTTGAACTGCTTCGGGCAGAAGCTTTGGATCATTAAGAAGGCACAACCTCTACATTCTTTATTTTTGTTTCCTCATTAGTGCGACAATTTAAATTGATAGTAAACAGGGTTGTATAACACTTGCTAAATGAACTAAATCCAGTGTTTGGAAACTGTGAGAGAAGTTCTATAGGTGGTACTTGGGTGGTCTTTAGATTATAGATCTTGCTTTGTAATTTCTCCTATCTTCAGTTGTAGTGTAGCACCTCTTTCATTGTCAGCTGTTTCACATACATTTAATCAGACTCCTGGTTTGCTTGAAGCGTTAGTTAGAGATACCTCCATATGCATTTTCTCCAGTCTCCTGTTTGTTTGCATTCACTTAATACTTTATACTGTCTGAGAATTTTATTCCTTCTGCTCGCATTTGTCTCCTCCACGACAACAAAAACTGACAGTTTAGACTTTTGAGTTAAAAACTGAAGCACAATGAACAGACTCAAGCATTCGATTTCTTTCTTGAACTCTTTCTCTCCCTGAATAGTTTTCTCTCCAAATAAGGACAGTTTGAGAAACCACATCAAATCACTGTTTTATCTGGTCTGTGCAGTCGTGAGAGACCACTTGACTTTAGTCTCCTAAACTCAACCACTAGGAATTAATAAATTTCAAGACTAATTTAAATGAGCAAAAATGGATTTTCTTGTTACTTAAAAATGAATGAACATTTGGATAAACCCATATCATCGTTTCACTTCAAGTTTCATTCAAAATTTGGCAACCCTTGTTGGCGAGGTTAGTGTTATTTTAGTATTCAGCCAGTAAATTAAAAAAAAAAAAGTTTTAATGTGGGAACTTGTAACACATGAACGTTTTAAAAGGAAGGGGATAGAAATATCAATATTTCAAGCAAATGACAGTGCTTGTCTTGTTTTTGTCTCTTATGTGCAAATCTTGCAGTACGGTGTTAATGTGTTGCTCTAATGTTGGTGAACCGTCACTTCATTTGTTGTTTCTCACAGATGAAAGGGCCAGCCATAAACGTGAGACCAATGTGTTTAGCTGTTTGGTGAGAGAATCTTACGACAAGAAAACTTCTTCAGTTTCGAGTCTTGAAAGCTGTGCTGTTTGTGGGAATGGTCTGGAGCAGCTCATCTCTTAGAGTTTACATAAGTGATGATAAAAGCTGACTGTTTAACACAACTCTGTCGTCACATGTTAAACTGCTTGGCTCTGATTGTCTGTGGGTTTCAGTTTTCTTGTGAAGCGCGGCGTTGGCTTGATTCATAGTTACATATTAAATTGCTGATATTATCATTTGCTGGAAGCATTGTCTCTGACATGCTTGTCCTCTGTTTCATGGTTCTGTCTCTTTCTTTTTCACTAAAGTACCTTCCAATGTGACATTTTACACATTGTACAGTTGTACTTCAGCAGTTTTGGGAAAGCCCTTTAAAATTACATCGTGACATCACTACAATGACGAGCCAAATCAATAAATTACTAGGAGAACTAGAGGGTGCCAATTTTTACAGAAACGCCTGTGGATCTTTACCAAACTTCCAGATCTTCTTTGTGATTCCTCCAGCAACCATTTTCTAGTTGGCTTCTCGTTCATAGATATTTTTCCCTCTGCTATGACTTTCACAGTGTAACTTGTGAGCAAGGATCTAATTAGTCTGACCAAAGCTCTGACCTCAACCTCTGTAACGGTTTGGGGAATGACCAGGAATGGAGACTGCTAGTCGGGTCTAAACATTAGTCACTGCTTAGTGTTGCTGTTTTGAAACAATAGATGCAAATCTCAGCAGTTGTTGCTGAACTTTAAGTGGAAGAAGCATCTTAAATGTGGTCTTTGGGTCATCCAGTCACAAATCTACATACACATATCACTGGCATGACTGCCATAATAATTTCAGTTTTTGCAAATTTGGTCTATTTAAAAGCAAACACTGTTATAAGTAGATTTTCTCTAATCCACACAGGATTAACATTTATTCACACCCACTATTTGGCCAAGATCTGGAGAAACATAATTTTTAAACAGAAACCTAATTGTCCTGGTATAATTCTGGCTGCAGATTTGATTGAAGTTTTATGTGTGTTGCAGGACGACGTGAAAGTCGAATTGGAAGTGAGCGAGGACTCGGAGGATGACGATTACCAGGATGGTTCTGCAGTAGTTGAAGAAGTGGAGATTGTCAACATCATTCAGCAGAAAGCACCGTCAGTGAAGCAGAAATACTCCATGTCAGAGCAGAAATACTCCATGTCAGAGCAGAGAGAGATGCCGGAGCCAACAAAGCTGGACACGCGTTACTTTGGCGAACTGCTGGCTGATGTCTACAGGAAGAACTGTGATATCCACTCCTACATCTTCGATAACGTGTCCAAGATCCGTGGACAGTAAGTGCAAGCTCTCAATTGTGATATAATGTTTGCAAAAAAAAAAAAAAGAGACCCAGTGTCATGATTCGGTATTCCTGTTGTGATGTTTTTTTTTAATCATTAGAATACAGTGCTTTGATTTTTAATTAACTTCTCAAGTGGAGATAGTTTTATATTCAGATAGTAAAACTATTGAAACTGTTAAGAGCATAAAACAAGTTTGAGATCTTATCTCAAGATCATAAGTTGACATTCCCAAGTGAGCTTAAAATGTTTTGTTGATCTAATGAGGAAAAGAAATCTCATGATTTCTGAACATAAGCGAGATAACTTCTCTCTTTAAAAATACATTTCTGTTAATCAGTGGCAGAGTCATTAACAGCATGACATTAACATAAAAACCTGCTTATTTACAGAAAACTTGCTTAGCTACTGGAAAATTATATTCCTGAAGATTTTGAATTTTTCAATGCATAGTAACTGCAAAACACTGAAAAACATGGAGTTCAACAGTTGGCTAAAATTGGTAAACAGTTATCCATGACAAATTAAATTTTTAATAAAACATTGCATTTTTCGTAGGAAACTTTGTGAATCCAACTAAAGTATACATACCAGACATCTCCTCTTAATCCTTGGAATCATATTGTCTTTTTGGCTCGAACTCACTGCAGAGAACCTCCATAACCTCAGAGATGAGTTGATATCGTTGATTTTTTTTCCATTTTGTTGATGTCTAATGAAGCCACTTCCAAGTAAACAACCACACTGAGGTTTGGTCACTTGCCTGCAGTGGTTCATCTGCAGCTTGTTCAAACAAGTTGGAGTCGAGTTTCAGATGTTCCCATCATCCAGAGTTTTACATGAGACTTCTGCAGACTCAGCAGGTGGTCTGTTATTGAAGTGTAGGAAATTTAGAGACGTAGGAGAAAAAGTTGGTTCTCTTTTAATGTATGGGTGTCTAAAATTGCAGCCAAATAGTGGGAAACCAAACACATTCATGAATTTCTTAGTAGACTTAAAGGATGCAAAAAAATACTTAGGGAGTGTACTTTAATTTAGTCAAACACAACATTACATTTGTGGAAGTCTTACACTTTACAACAAGGTATTTAGAGCAACAAAATGCAAATATAAAACGTGAAGATTCAGAGACGCATGCATCACTCTTATATATGGCCCGGCAGGTCATATTTGGTGCCGGGGGCCAAATATGACTGCCATAACTTTTCATGTGGCCCTCTGGGATCTGGAGACCCTTCAAGATTACACATGACATTGTCAAGTTCAGTTGTGCAGCAGAAATATAAATGTAACAGAGCAGAAACACAGAAGTCATGAAATGACAATATTTAAGTCATGGTAAGGAGGCTTTTAGGTCAGTCCGTGTTACAATGTTGTCTTTAATTTATTTCCAATTTTGATGTATGCTGATGTCAAGACTGATATGTTTCGTTTCACCTGCGTCCCTCTGTGTTTACCTGACATTCCTGGAACACTGCAAGAACAAATATCAGTTTTTTGTGCAGGCATCCACTTCTGAAACTCAGCTCCCTCCAATCTATGCTGCCTACCTCACTTTGTTTTCCTCTCTGTGTGTTACAGGAAACACACTCTGAATCTCTCCAGTGACCTAAAGGTGAGAGACGAGTCTGAACTGAGCTCTTGAAACAATTAAATACCTTAAAGATGAATCAGTCAGTTATATTAAATAAAATTTCCTCTCAACACATTATCTGACCAGATACCATCAATACTGATGGAATCTCCTGTTTGTATGAGGCGATAAATCTGTGCTGAGTTGTGTCTTTCTCTGTTGAGTCCTTGTTTGGTTCTTTTATGTGTTCAGGGGGAGAAACAGGAGGTGGAGTCTTTGATTCCAAAAGGAGCCAATGAACTGACCAAGCAGCAGATGCGCTACCTGCTGGAGGTGAGACACGCGGAAAATATTCCGACGTATTTTAATGACTAAATAATAAGCTTTTATTGCTTACTTTGGTTCTCATCCCATGTGCCTGGAGCCATAGTTTGCTTTCACCGTAGGTCTTTTCATTCCTCGCAGCTGTTTAGATGGAGAGAGGACTGAACTTTTACCAGGTTTTTCATAGATTTTGGCTGAGAGACAGGCCTATAGGTTATTTACCTGTAGTCCTGGTAGAAAAAAAGTACATCCCTTTTATATAGCTCAAAGTGTACATAGTTTATAAAACATTTACAAAAATGTAAAAGAAGGCAGTAAAACAGCATTTACTCTTACCTCATAAACTTGATGCTGAAAACAACATCAATATTCAGTCCGGTGACCTGGCTGTCAACTGCCAAGATTTTGTTTCACCTGTTATTACTTTTGATCCTCCAAATGTCTCTGTTATTAACTCCCCTCTCCATCTGGCTGTGTTTCAGACTCGTTTCACTGCAGAGAAGAGCATGCGTCTGCTGCTCTCCACCTTCAGCAGCCTGAGAGAGGAGCTGATGCAGATGTCTGAGGACATGCGGGTAAGACCTGTCATCATCGCGGCAGGGGCAAGGCGTGGTGACTCAGCTCAACCATAATCAAGCCCTACAAAAAAAACATCAGCTTCAGTTTCTTTTTGATAACAGGGAATTTAGGAGTAACAGGCAAACATGAAGGTACAAGAAGAAAACTAGGCAGATTTAAAACTGTGCTGGGATAATTGCTCCTGCTGCTGACTGGTAACTAGACAGACTTCAAATGTAGGGGAGTTAACATTTTCAGTGTTCAGTTGTTCAGGCCTCAGGCCAGACATAAACCACCTCGCAACAGCATGTTGCACAAACAAACCAGCATGGGTGGAAATTTATTTTCATATTTTCCTTTCTGTAAACAAGAAAACTTGATCAATTATACAATGTTATTGATCAGGTTTCATTCCAGTAAAAATGTGGTTTTACAGCTCATGCAGATCATAGAGTGAACTTGATATTTGTCCCGAAAACTTCTAACACAGGTGTGTGTGTGTGTGTGTGTGTGTGTGTGTGTGTGTGTGTGTGTGTGTGTGTGTGTGTGTGTGTGTGTGTGTGTGTGTGTGTGTGTGTGTGTGTGTGTGTGTGTGTGTGTTCACAGCGTCTGGAAAGCGAGAAGGAATCTTTGGAAAGAGATCTGGCTTTCAAAGCAGACCAGGCTCTGCAGTATGAATCCCTCATAGAGAACGTCAGAGAGAGCAACAACAAGCTGCAGGTATTGTGATCTAACGATTATAATCAGCTCATGTGACATATGAGTTTAATTTATTATAGTTGAACCCAAACAAAACCAAAGTCATATCACATGTAGCCCTGTTTGACTTTTCTTTCTTTTCTTTTTTTTTGGTTGAGTCATTGAATATTTGCATAGTTATTCCCTCCTGGTTTTGGATCTCAAACAATTTGTTAAATTCATTGCTGCATATTTCAGTAAGATACGTACAATGCCAGGGTGGAAAGACATCAGCAATGTCCAAGAACTGTTGACAAACTGAACAGCAACTGCAGAGTGTGAATGCTGCAATGACCCAGTCAAAGTCCACATCTCAACAAGTTCTGTAGTTGGACCATAGAGGGAGCTGTACACTGAATGAATGTCTCAAACTTCTGATGCAATGTTTTATTTGATGTTTATTTAAGTTGTAACCTTTTTGAATAAAGTTGTTGTGGACAGGTGTAGCGCTGGATCACGTGGTGTTGTTAGTGATTATAGATCACCTGTTGCTCACCTCGGTGACTTTAGTGAGTGGGTGATGGGGGAAGGTCTACTTTCTTGCTGACCACCTTAAGTTAGTATATTTTTGTCTCTAATCACTGTTTAATTGTACAGATCCATTTTTTATGCTGCTTGGACATTGTTTTCCTTGAATATTGACAAAAATAAATCATCTAAATGCATCCTGGATTGTGTTTTGATCAGCTGGCGCGTCAACAAGGATTTCCCCTATTCAGCCGCTGAGCGACTTTGTTTGGCAGTCGCTGATAAAAGTATTTAAGTGAAGAGTTTGTGTATTTTTGTGCAGCTGTCCCTGAAGGAAGCCCAAGCTTCCCAGCGTTCCCTGGAGACTCAGCTCTCCACTTGCCGAAACAGCGACTCGGTTGGGAACTTCAAGATCAAAGAGTTGGAGGGAAGAATGAGAGGACTGGAGAAGGAGAACGAGATGCTCAAACAGAGGGTAAAGGTCAACTTCCTCCAAAACCTGGATTATCCATCCATAAGGAATTCTGATTGGCTTAAATATAGACAAATATTTTCTTGTGGACACTTTCTGTTGTGATGGACATCAGAAAAGTCCTTACATTTTTGTCCGTCTGTCTGTTTTGTTCAGCTGGCCGGACAATCTAGCAACGGCAACCTGCAGCTCAAAACAGAGGCGCTGGCGCAGCACTACAAGCAGGAGCTGGACACCCTGAAAACAGAAAGAGACATGGAGATGGAGAAACTGAGGGTAAGACGCAAAAAAATCAAACAAAAATAAACTAAGCAGGCATGAAAAGATCTTGTGAAAAAGTCACTGCAGTTTAAAGTGTGAAATCTCCTCGGAAGACCTGTTTAGAAGATTTGTACATTTTGTGATTATTGATTCCTTGTTGTCATTTTTGGTCCCAGTTTGGTCAAACTTTACAAAACATAGCAGATCTACAACTTCTTAAGAAATGTATGAAATGCAAACAAATGTAACAAAACTTTAAAATGTCAACTATGACCAACCATCATCTTCCTCTAGCTAGATATCTAGTCACAGCTACCTATCTACCTATCTTCCTTACTTACCTTTTTTCTACCTTTCTTACTTTATATTTTTTTTATTTAATTTCTTTCTAATTCCCATCCTTTATTATTTCTCAGTTTTTTCTTCTTTTCTTTCTGTTTTCATTTCTCCCCATTTTTAATAACTGAGTAGATGCGTGTTTTTTCTGTAAACTCATAGGAAACGTTTATATTTATACTTTGAAAAGTTGAACTTTTTTAATTTGGAGTGTGGATTTAATAATTTGTTGGGACGTTTGTATGAAGAAAAGTGCTTGTAATGAATACTTAGTAACTTTTTCCCTTGACATGGCTGATTGAAATCTGCATGTTTTTTCTTATTCTTTCCCTTCTTTCACTGTGGTGGACCTCAGTCTCAGATATCGAAGTTGCAGATGCAGATCACCACGACCTCCACCACTACCACCAAATCGTCATCCGCAGAGAGCGCTCTCCAGCTGAAGATCTCAGAGCTGCTGTCCAGGTTGGAGCAGCGGGAGATCACCATCAAGCAAAAAGAGGAGGTTTGAAACAGTCACAACATCAAAAAAAGCAATGATATTTTATCTGTTGGAGTTTAAACCTTTCCCAACAACTCTACTGTTAACAGAACCACAGTATGAAGCTGCCACCACCATGCTTGAGAGGTAGTTCAGTCCATGTAGGAGCTTCACATACTTGTCCTCTTTGTGGTATAAGAGCTTGATCTTTGTCCGAAAAAAATCATCTGGCCTGTCCATGTCAGTAGATTTTAAGTTGAGGTTGAAAGTGTTTATTTTGTACTGAGCTTCCTCAGCAGCCTCTCAGTACATGTTGCTGTTAAACTGACATTGTTGTGGACAGCCCTGGTTGTTCCAGAATCAATTTCCTTTCATCTGTGTGTCACTGTTTAAGTCATAATCCAACCAAATCAAATAAAAGCTACAATCTTTAGTAAGAGGTCAGTAAAATAGTAAAGTTTAAATATTTCTTATGTACAACTATAATATTTGCACCCTGCTAAACCATTTATAGCTAAACAATGCCTATTGAAATACTTCAGAGAGTATTAAACTGTTACTTGCGTTCAGGAGTTCCTTGTTCAGCCTTTTTTCTGAAACTGATTGAACTTTGTTGACTTTGCGCTCTCTTCGTCTTCAGGAGATTAGAAGACTGTTGATGGAGAGGAACGACAGCTCCAAGAACGTCACCAAGACAATCATCACCAAGAGGTACAGCAGTCACACAGCACGCTGCTGACCTGAAAGCAGCTGTTCACTTTGTAAAGGATTTAGCTTAAGCAAAGATGACAATAATTTCATTCATTTTAGTCTGAGAATCAACACAAAGCTCTAAATTTCTCAGTTTATGTCATGTATAATATATTATACAAGTTATTCTACAGTTCTTGTATAATTGTTTACAGTTTATGAGCCTTTTGCCATATTTACTGACTGACTGGTAATGCATTAATGTGTATTATATTACTTGATTTACATGTCAAAAATTAGCCAAAGGTTGTTGATCATTTCATACAGTGTGTTTTAGTGTTTCATTTGGTCTCGATTCACAGCAACGTTTTCTGAAATGACGAACCAAAACACAAAGTTTCCCATTCATATCCAGTTATCTTGAATCTAATGTTCAAATGAATTCAGATCCATCTAATTCAAACATAGAGCTGACTTTGATTATAGTGCTACACAAAATATCCCCCTCAGTCATTACTGGGGGGATATCATTCACTACTATACTGACATCACAAGTTTGCATGAAACACTCCAAAACGAGTTCCATGGTTCTCCATTTGTTTGGCTGTGCAGGTACAGGAACCAGTACCCGATCCTTGGTCTGCTTAGCGACGACTACCAGGTCACATCACCTGTTAAAGAGGCCAAAACCATCGTCATTGAGAGAACCGGAGAGATGATCAAACAGGTATAAGGGTGGAAGGAGAGGCCTACTGAGAAACCTGCTGACCTGAGTTATGTTCTTTTTAGTTAGTGAAAACTTTCACCGGGGCCAAATGGGTCAGAGTTTTCTCTTCATTAAAAGGAAGCTCATATTAGACCTTTTTAAAAGGTGGTTTATCTAATAAAAAAATTATTATTTAAAGTATATCAACCTTTTTAAATAAATAACTGTATTAAAATTTAAAAACAGTTTGACTGCAATAAGTAAGTTTACAGATGAAAGCCAGCTGGAGGAGAACATTTTTATCATTAAAGATCTTCCTCTGACTGATAAACTGGAACTAAAATGACTATTTTTAAAATATGTGTTTGCATGACTTGGAGAGCTAACAAACTGACACACGATCCAGAAATCGCTGAGTAAAGAATTGTAAACAGAAACTGTTTATGCTGTAACTGTCGCAGCAGTGAGTGAAAACAGCCCAAAGTCTCAGTTTTTACACATAATGACTTTCATTTTATTTGTGATAGCCATAAAATGTCACTTTAGGCTAATACAACATATGTGGTAGTTGGAACGGAGGCAGAATTACTTATATACAATTTGTGGTTCGTTTGGCTCATACACTGAAGGGAAGAAACAGACGACAGTGAAAACACAAAATATTAAAAAAACCTCAACGCAACAAAATGTTTTTGTTTTTGTAAATTTTATGTTCACAAACAGCCTCAGTAAATCAGGCTGTTGACTCCCGGCCATGTGAAGAAAAGCTCATCCTTCCCAGCTATTCATTTCATAAAGCTCACCCATATGTTCTGTCACTTTTAGAACAGGTACCCCTAGAATGAGAACAAATCAATTCAAATTCATGACAGTTTCTCTCTTAAACCTGCAGATTGTAACAATTGTACCTGTGTTTTATTTTAAAACAGGAAATCATTACTACTCCATAAAGACATACTGCTTCTCTCCGACAGGAATGATTGAACGTGGAGAAGACCCTGATGTCACCCCTCCTCCCCCATATGCATGCTCCTCCCCTTCCCCTAAGGCCTCCCAGGATTGGTGGTGGTTGAAACCCCTCTTTTCTTCCCCCTGGACCACTAAGATCTGGTTCTGATTCAGTCAAATCCAGTTTGGCTGGGATTAAAATCTACCTGGGCTTTTTTTGGCTTCTGCTATGATTTATTTTCAACTTTTACATATGTAAAAGTTGCATAATGCCACTACAAATATCCATTGACCAAGTTTGGTTTAAAAAAAAAAAAGCATGACGGCTGGGAACTGGGTGACATTTGGTTTGGAATCTCATCAAAAAGAAATAAAAAGTAAGACAGATTTAACTCTGCAAGCAGTTTTTATGTCAGGACTTACTTTTTGAATTTTAGTTGAATTAAAACAGTTGCGCCTCAACATCTTGCTCATTCTAGCCATGCAGTTGAGGTAAGTAGCAAACCACAAGGTCACCTCAGCTCCCAGTTGTCAAAAATGCAAATGAACCTTTCACTAAGCCACCACTGCCATGCTTTGCCCAGGGGACGAGGAAGTGGATGCTTCATTGCGATTGCTTGCTGCATGTAAATATTCACGTTTGTACGATGATGGGCATGCTCAGTGAATGTGTTGATTGTGGAGCATCTCGTCTTAAATGTGGTTTTAAACGTAAATGTTCTCATGGGTGTTTTTCCTTTTGTTTTGTTCTGAGTGGTAGTTTATTTTAACCCTGTTTTATGTTGAGGTTTTTATGTGAGTCGAAGGTCCTCATGAACTTCGACGTATTCCGTGTTTGTACATCACTGTGGGGTCTGGGTGTGTAATGTCCAGCATCCATGAGGGGAACAAGACCCCATGAATGGGAACTAATGATGTGGGTGAATGTAGGGATGTGTGGAAATGGGGCATGATTTTTAGGGGGGATTAAAATGGTGGAAGAAAGAATTTGAAAGTACATTACACAATCTGTAATCTAAGATTGTGTAATATCTTAGATTACACAATCTAAGACATTAATCTAAGATATTAATCTAATATCTTGGTTTTGTATGATGGTGATTTTATGCATTTTGTTTTTGATGATGACAATTTTATGCATTTTGTTTTTCTAATTAAGTATGTCATGTTGAAGGCTTTGTGTCCACCAGGTGGCAGTCTCATTCCTCTGCAGATCTCTAGCATACAGATTGCAGTATGAAATACTACTGAAGCTGATTCTGAAGGCATAATTTTCTTCTTTTGATAATAATTTAATTCTATTTTTACGTCGTATACATAATAAAGTGTCAAAACAAAGCTTTCCATGCAATCAGTCCCAGCATTATAGCAAAAAGTACAGGTAATTATTTACCTGTACCTGTGAAGCATGGGCTGCAATCCATTTTTTCCATCTCATAATCTCCTGCTGTATAATTATTATTTTGTATCTAATGTCAACAAATCTTCTAAACTAAATTTATTTTTAAAATGTTCTCTTAAAACCTATATTTTTCAGTCCTTGCATTTTCACAGCTTTTCATTTCTAAACTCAGTGGGCATTCGAAATACACACATTTTGACAGACCTCTTAATTTTGTTGTTTGCAAGGTTTTGTTTTGCTGATACATTTTCTATACTATAAGAATTTTAATATTCTATTATATTTTTATACATCATTATGTGTTAGTTTTACCTATTTTTTATTTTTTTGTCTCAGCCAAAAAACTGTAAATAGCTGCTGGTTGGAATAGAATAACCTCAAAATTTTTTCTTGAGGAATGATAGAAATAATTCTACCCTTGTGAGACAGTTGAACTGTAAATAATCTAAGTAATAGACAGAAAGCAAATACCATCAGGAAGTTTCTGTATATTTCTCAGAAGTAAAAGTTTATTTAATATCAATGAAAAAGATTAATACTTAAATTTAAAAACTGAAAGATTGTTACTGAAATTACCAATGATTTACTGAATGGGACTAGAAAGTAAACATTCAAAATACAAATATGTAAACAGAATAAAACCTAAGAACAAGGAGCTGATAGGATTCTCAGAAACCTAAAGTAAAGACTTTACTGCCAACTTCTGATTTTAATAACTAACTTTAACCTGCAATAGAACGGGACTTTGTGAAATGAAATGTTTTCAGACCCACTTTGGATTCACTCAACTTCTTGAGCCTCAACATCGAACCTGGGAACCTGCTTTGACTAGACCAGTAACCGGGTTGATCTGGATAAAAAAAAAATTAACATGAGTAGAAATTTTTATAAAAATACTTTATTTTTTATTTTTAGGATTTTAATAAATATGAAAAAAAAACATAACATTTGTCTTCCCAGACTACATTTATTTATGCTTTTTGAAATATGGAATCATTACTTTTAAATTAATTGTTGGAAAAAAAAGGTCTTGTTTATTAAAAACAAACATTCATGTGTCAGATCATGTACTAAAACGCTTACCTTTTCTACAAACATTAATAAAAGGAGAGTTACCCAACGGACACAAAGCCTTTCAACAGATTTGGACCTCATGGGAATCGAGTTTTGAATGTGTTAGCCGTGTCAGTGAACTAATGTTGTGGAGAAAATCTCAACATAATCAAAACTTTCACTTTCAGGTAGGCTAACAGAAAAATCCACTTCCATGTTATTACAATAATCATTTAGAAGATAAAATCCTGCCTCATATTTTTTTTCTGCTCACTGTATGATGAACTAAGCTAGCTGGACGTAGCTAATGTGCTAACAGAGTACATATTTCTTTTTTTTAAGAGAACTAAAGCTGCAAGTTAGAATAAGCCATTCTGTATGTCACAGCTAAGAATAGATTAATAAAAATAATATATCTTTGCAATGTGTTGCTATGTTTTTTACTGTCTTTTTCCCAATGAAGGTGCCAGCAATGTCTAAATTCTCACTGGAACAATTTAGTTTTATAATTTATGTGTACATTGAAAGTGCATTTCAGGTCAGTTTTGAATTTTCAGTAAGAAAAATAAAGAGATGAAAATAAACCTAATAAATGTTGGTCACCAAAATCAAGAGTGTAAGGAGATTGTGAGATAATATTCTGGCCAATTTAGTAAAAAAACATTTTTAAAGGTTTTTCTCATCAATCCAAAGTGGAAAGGTATCGTTATGAAAACAATCCTTAGCAACCTTGATTCAAAGCATTAGAATAGATACAATAATTTTGCCATTCTTTAGACAAATAGCAATGCAGAACCTGCTAACTTCTGAAAATCAAGCAAAAACAGTTTTACATTGCCTCCATTAATCTAAATTCAAATGTTAACTGGCATTTAGTAAGTGTCATTTGACAATGTGCCAAGTATTAAAAAGCAGTAAAATTCTGGCTGATCTTTTCCAGACATTCATGTCTTGCTGTTGTGTGGACAACATTAAATATCTCATTTCTCTTTTTAAAATAATTATCCTGTTTCTCTTCTGTGTTGCGAGGATAATACAGGGTAACATTTTTTTTTCGATTCTGACATGACACTGTTTAAGACTGTCTTTGGTCTTTAAATAGTAAATAAAACACAAGATTATTACTGACTAACTCAAAAACAACAACAAATCTCCAGCTCCATAGATCTGGGTTATAGACCCTGTAACCCCTCTCATGATGGCGCCTTCATCCAATCCCAGGCTGGGCTAGAGGAGACGTACATCAGTCCATCAGAAGACAAACACGGAGCATTAAAGGACAGACGGCTACGCACGCAGACACTCACATAAGAGTAATTTGAAGTCAACACTTAAATTTAACCCGGCTAAGTGTTCATATTTCACCAGCAGAGGGAGGGAGCCGGCTTCAGTCTGCAGTTCTCTCTCATCTTGGTAAGTGTGGGGTCATTGAGTGGAGCTGATGGAGCGAAGAGGGAATGAGGTCATTGCAGCTCTGTAGGGCTTGGCTCAATTGGCTGCTTGTCAACCATTTTGACTCCAGCGAATTCTCTGAAAGCCCACATGGCCACAGACAGCAAAACCCATCACAAAGTGCAGCACCACATAACCGGCAGAACTGGGAAGGAACAGATTATTTCAGAGGACAAAAACATGGTTAGATTATTGATTATTTTGACCATATGAAAACATAAAGACTGGGTAAAAAATAGCACTTTTTGACATTTTGTGAAAATCTTACCCCAAAATCACTGGCAGAGCGAGAACCTTGCAGGGACATAGAAGATTGAACGTGCTGAACAAACAAATCTGAAACTTTACAGCAATTAAAACACAAAATATAATGAAAATGGTTGTAACTCAGTGATTGTCTGCTGATCTAGCTTACAATTTAGCACAAAAAATGCTGCACTTAAGATCTGTTTGAGACTGAAGCAAGAAAACAAGGAACTTCATGAGCTTGTGGTAAACTTTTGAAGAAAAATTGAGCACCTCACGAGCAGAAAAAATAACGAGACAAAAGACTTGCAGGCACAAAGCAAGATTCTCTTGAATGAAAATGATGCTGAAAAATCCCAGCTCTCTTCACTCAATAACCAGTATGAGAAAGCAAACTTAAAATTCATCAGATGAAAATGGCAGGGAATGTCTTGAAAGTGTCAGATGTGTCCCTAAGATGGAAACTTAAGGCAAATATAGAAAAAGCAGAGAAAAGAGTGATAAAGCTGGACTGTGTTTCAAAAGAATTACACAGTTTCCAAAGCCAGTTTGACAGAATCAATGAAGAAAAAGACAGGCTAGGCCAAGACAACTTGACTGTGAAGAAATACATTTCTCTGATTAGTTGAGACCACCTTCTGATGGTTTAGGTCTTGTCTCGGCCACCTTTGGTCTTGGTCTTGCCTTGGTCTTGGACATTGAAGACTCAGGGTTTTATTTTTAGGTAGATTGAAGTAAAATTCATTATTCTCATATTCAATCACAGTTGTAATTGAATGCAGTTATGTTCATTTTATTACTCTGAAAAAAACAACCTTTTCTACGTAGCCTTTTTCATTGTCTTTTTGATGGCAACAATTTATTTGAGGGGAAGTGCATAAACCTGACATGACATAACACCTGTCCTGAACATGAAGGAGTCTTCAGGAATGTTCATGATTGTTGTCATGAAGTGTTATTAGCCAAATAGTGACACTGTTAATGCAAAGTTGACACTTTTGATGGAACTTTAATTCAACTTTATATAATGTCTGACTACCATAATGGCAATTAATTTTAATCACAATATATGTGGCAATATATTCTTTAATGTGCTGTCCTTGGTGAAATGAACTTGAACTAAGAATGTGGTAAGGTCAACAATTAGGGACTTTTAACGACTGACAGATCCTCCATCCATAGATCTATTTGCGCAAACTAATGAGAACCGACTAGATACCCCTTAATTCCAGGGAGAGTTTACTTTGGAACAAAATATTCCCTGACAAGGAGTCCTCTTTTTTAGGTATTTAAAACAAAACATCACATTGTTTCCAACCAAGAAAAACCTCCAACATTCATATTAACTTTGAATTTCGTCAACTTGTTTTCTCACACGACGTCTTTTTCATGCAGTCCTCCATTTCCTCTTCCAGGACCTCTTTATGTCACGCTTGGGCTTATGCACCATGTACAAACACATGCACTCCCCTTATTGTGTCTCACTCTCAGTAAACCCAATAGCCTCTGAGCCCCGGGGGTTTTAGAGTGTAAAGGCAGCATGGAGGCAGGAAGAGAGAGACTGCATTATCCACATCATGAGCGAGAGTTATCAGGCATAATCAATGCTGCCCCATTACACACTCCAGTCGCTCACACTAACTCTCTAATGAGATCAATATGCCTTATTGGCGTGAATGAGAGTGCGATATGGTTATCGGAGAAAAAAAAGGAACAATTTATCAACAATGTGCAATGCTCTTAAAAGGACAATTAAACCACTGAAAGTTTAGACCCAAGCCAACTATTCTTCCAAATGTGTTGTTGATAACCCTGTACATCAAAAATCAATATGCATCGTGACTAACTCACAACTAACTCAACCCTGAAGCATCTTTTACATACATTGCTCTGGTGAACAATTTGTCAATGACTTCACTAAAGTTACCTTGTTAATGAACTAACAGAAACCAAACACTACAGACTTTGAGAGCTTTGGATTTGCTGAATCTAATAACAATGAGTAAAGAGAAGATTAAAGTTATATAGTGGTGCTCAGTAACAAAGCAACGCTACTGAGCTAATAGATTACCTTTTTTCCCCCCAAACAGAATTATATGCAAGAGTTGGAATATGTAAACTTTGGAGGATGTGGAAAAAAATGTTCATTGAGGAGTTAGGATAACAGTTCCTCATAGAAAACATTTTTCAAGAGAGCTCCGCCATGCCCCAAAACAAAACAAAAACAAACAGTTTTTACATATTTGTTAAAGCTGTCACCATGTTGGCCCGTATAATATGACAGATAATATGTGAAAAGATCAATCTCTCCCACCTCCTCCCAGTGCTACTACTGCTGTCTGAAGAAATACACCAATCCCAGTCAAAAACAACCAATCAGAGCCACATTTAGCAGTATACACTGCTAAATGTGCTCATTGCGGAGAACCAACTTACTATGGTGGCAAACTATTTGTCCACCATCATCAGTAGTCACGTTAACTAGTCTGAGTATTCATGGGAGTGAATACTCAGGCGAACTACCAGTAGCATAGCAGAGAAACATAAGGAGGCTGTTAGCGGCGCATACACGACAGTAATTGGCAGCGCTGGCTCTGGATGTTTCAGACAGAGCAGTGTATTTGCTCAGGTAACAGGGAGTCATAGGGGCCAGACAGAGGAGCCTTTTTTAAAAGTTATAGCTTTAAGTGAAGTGTTTTGTACTTCACTGCTTTTCATCCAACAATTACTGATAGGGGTTGTGATGTGTGGGGGCTCTAATTGGGCAAAATGGGAGGAAATGCTTGTTTTCAATGCACAGTAAATACCACTAGTAGCTCTGAATAGACTAAGACACAAGTTACATTCTTTTCAATGTTAGCAATATGTTGTCTTATGTTACTTACCCTGAGTTTACTCAGCTAACTTACTTAGCGTTCCTTTAAGTGGAAAAAAAGTCACATCTTAGTCCAAATAGAAAACCTTCTGAAGTGACCACAAGGAGAGGATCAGGACATTCACCCACTGTACAAAGAGGATCAACATGCTATTGGACTATTTTCAAACATGTACGACTAGTCGTAATTTTACTACTTACTTAACTCCTGAGTCAGCTTATTTTCTCAACAATCCAGTATTCTTTTTCCAAAGTGAGTCAAGCTGCATTTGACAAATCTTACAACAAAGAATTGAGAAAGTCACATATTTTTTCCAAAAAGATGCAATAAAATCAGATGAGCTAATGTACACAGAGGATAAATGGTAGCAGTTAGCATAGCAACATGGAACTTGTTTGGTTGATAAAGTTGTTGTATGGTAGGCAACCTCTCATGCATCAAGAAATATAAATAGAAAAGTGAGTGCACCAAACTTTCTAAAACCTGTTTCTTACTTTAAAGCTTTCTGAATGTAATCTGTTAGTTTTCCCCAAGTCAGAGACATCACAACTTTCTCTACCTCCCGCTCTCCCTCTGCCTCCCCACCCTGCCAGGAAAGTGTTGACAGCTCTCATCTTTCATCCATTTGATGTAATTAGGCTCCTCTCTACACATTTGAAGCTTTCCATTCACATTTTATTGTGGGATGAGCTCAGCTTTTCCTGCCGCAACAAAAACCGCTGGTACATCTACGGTTCTTAAATGATGCCTTACAAAACTTCTGGATGAAAAGACAAACCACTGGTGCAGGTGATCAATAAACATTTTTACAGAAACTCTTTTAGTCTCAAGTTCTACATACGTTTTGACACAAAAAAACGTTTTGTTCAAAAAAGTATGTTCTGATTTTTTCCAAATATATGTCACTTATTTTGTTGCTCCTCACAGAGATCTTCTTTGAGTGAAGTGGCCCTGGGCATGTCCAAATATCTTAATGATAGATTTGGGCTACTTCATTCAGTGAAGGCGCCCTGATGGCTGAAACTTGTGGCTTA